ACACGTCAAGGCAGGGGAGGTTCCGTTCAAGGAGGCGGGCTGTGCGAGGAAGTGGGCGTGCTCCTCGAGGTCGGGCCTCTGCCTGGACGCTGCCTTTAAGAGAAAGAAAAATTTTGAGAAAAATTAAAAATGATCAGTCCCGCGATTTAGAAAACAAAGTCTCCGTCTAGTTGTTGCGCAACGTTCTTTTTTCTCCGAAGTACCTTGTTTTGAGAGATGTCTTCGTTTGTTTATTTCATTCTATTTTATTTATCAGGAAAACTCATGAAAGGCAACTTACGTCATTTGTGAGCCATAATTTTTTAGGCAAACATGTCATGAATGCGAATGTCTCTCCTCAAGGTGGACTGCATTACGACTGTGCACTCCAAAAGTTCCTGCTCACATCCATCTATAAGGTTTTGAACATCACTTTTCTGTGTATAGTTCTCTCAGCCACGGCCGTTTGAGTTCGGCATGTCTTTCATCATCGATCCTTCCGAGTACGGCGAGATACCTGTGACGATAAAATGAGTGCAGAGATTGTACCAAAAGCCTGCACGGTGCACCTTCACTTCGAAATGTCGAGCTGCGGTTCTTTTTGCTCCGGATTTCTATATCCAGTCGCATCTTTTAACTTCATGAACTTTAGTAATCTCCCACGATAAATAAATAATATCATCTTCAATGTTATTAAGTCCCATCACTTGAACTTCAGCTCTCTGTCTGTGCTTGACCCAATGTGAGCTATGAAAAAAAAAACAACGACATAACGCCATTATTGAGTTGCTTGTGCGTACTTGACGACTATTGCTTCAAGCTTGTTTAGCAGAAGCCTACAAAGGAAGTACCGTTACAGCTCGTGGCGTCTAGCAAGAACTAGTAAAACGGACGTCCTACCAAGATCTTTTATCGGATAGCATGTTGTCGTATTGTAATATACAGCGTAATGCAGAATTCTGATGTCTGGCGAATGGGGGAACCAACGCAATCACATACGCATTGGTCTGCATTCGCTCATCCTTTATGAGCAACATCGTTGCTACTAGAGGGCTTAGCATCAGTGAATTCACTTGAGCGATCGTCTATCTTATCAAATAAGGTTTTCGTCACCATACGCGAACTTGATGCCAGACATCTGGACCTAGCGTTTCGGCTTATTTCTTATTTCTAAGAGTAACTGTATACATAATTGCAAATATGAATTTTACGAACAAATGCCCTTTATTTTGTACAGTCGAAATGTGCGTTTGACTAGCTATATCGATTGCAGTATTGCGACATTGTAGACAACCAGGAGTAAGAAGCAGCACTGCTCTTGCCTTTTCAATAAGACAAACGCAAGGCATTAAAAAAGTGATTTGGGAGAAGAGGTGACCATTTACAGAAGTAAAAGCTTTGCAATAAATTTATGACTAACAAGGGAACAATACTTAGTATCCGTGGCCTCTTGAGATGAGATGTATACCATTACACTAGTCTTCGAACGCTGATTCCGAAGCTGACTTCCGTTTCTGCTAATGGTTTCTCTGAAGGAAGTTATGAAAAATTTTTGGGCCAAGTTTGGCCGCAAGAGATACTATA